CTGTCCGGGCCACCTGCAGGACTACTAGTGGTACCCCTCTGATGGTGGCCCTGCATGGGTCAGTCCACCCCTGCTCACCAGGTCCCTTCTTTCAGGGGGAGGGGTGATGCCGCCCCCCCTAAACATTGCCGCCCTATGCAAACGCCTTGTTTGTCTTGCGTTTAAAACACCGCTGCCAGTAACCCCCCCCCCCCCCCATCAGATCTGTCCTCTTCCTTCTATAGTCACTGTGATGTCCGTCCTCTTCCTCCATAGACACTGTGATGTCTGTCCTCTTCCTCTACAGTCACTGTGATGTCCGTCCTCTTCCTCCACAGTCACTGTGACGTCCGTCCTCTTCCTCCACAGTCACTGTAACGTCCGTCCTCTTCCTCCACAGTCACTGTGACGTCCGTCCTCTTCCCCCACAGTCACTGTGACGTCCGTCCTCTTCCCCCACAGTCACTGTGACGTCCGTCCTCTTCCCCCACAGTCACTGTGACGTCCGTCCTCTTCCCCCACAGTCACTGTGACGTCCGTCCTCTTCCCCCACAGTCACTGTGACGTCCGTCCTCTTCCCCCACAGTCACTGTGACGTCCGTCCTCTTCCCCCACAGTCACTGTGACGTCCGTCCTCTTCCCCCACAGTCACTGTGACGTCCGTCCTCTTCCCCCACAGTCACTGTGACGTCCGTCCTCTTCCCCCACAGTCACTGTGACGTCCGTCCTCTTCCCCCACAGTCACTGTGACGTCCGTCCTCTTCCCCCACAGTCACTGTGACGTCCGTCCTCTTCCCCCACAGTCACTGTGACGTCCTTCCTCTTCCCCCACAGTCACTGTGACGTCCGTCCTCTTCCCCCACAGTCACTGTGACGTCTTTCCTCTCCAACAAAACTGATATACACACACACGACTGCATATGTATACTGTTTATATACGGCATATATTTATACTATAATCAATACAGACATATTACCTATATACTGTATAGAGCCATATATTCCAGTATATGAACGTAGAAAAAAAACTGCCTACCCGGCGCCCGGAACTTCATGTCCTGGGCGTCGAGCAATAGGACTCCAACATTCCTGTATAACACAGACCTGACCTGAGAGGTGAGGAGGATTCTGGGAGGTCACATGACATCACTCTCATCTCTATTAATAAAATACAGACCTGACCGGAGAGGTGAGGAGGATTCTGGGAGGTCACATGACATTAGTGTTGCTCTCTCAATGCAGAATTTTCCTCCGGTAAAGTCTGATGATTATTTAACATCAGTGTCTTAACTTCATTCCTTGAAACCCAAGAGAAACAATTGCAAGAAAGTTGTGGAAGTCACCAAGAAGATTGTTGATCTGCTGACAGGACAGCAAGGACATAAGGACCTCTACAAGGACGTCATGATGGACAATCAGCCGCCCCTCACATCACCGGGTAAGGGGAGACTTTATTGTAAAGGAGAGAGCAGTACGGAGGGTCCACCTAGATCCCCCATCATCTGATAAACACATAGAAACAATGGATTCAGTCAGTGTGTCTGTTTCCTACAGATGGATCCAGTCATGGGAACCCACCAGAGAGATGTCCCTGTCCTCTGTATTACTGGGATTCCACACAGGAAGGTCACCCCATCCCTCATCATCATCAGGTAGATGGATCCAGTACTGAGAACCCACCAGAGAGATGTCCCCGACCCCTGTATTCCTGGGATTCCGCACAGGAAGATCACACCATCCCTCACCATCATCAGGTAGATGGATCCAGTAATGGGAACCCACCAGAGGGATGTCCCCGTCCTCTGGATTTGCGGGATTCTTCACAGGAAGGTCACACCATCCCTCACCATCATCAGGTAGGTGGGACTGAGCAACCAGAACTCAAATACATTGTAGAATTCTGCACTTGGAGATGACATTCTTCTATGTCAACTCTTGTCCTATCATATTTGGGCTTTAGAGTGAAGAACTAAAATACATCAAAGTTGAGGTTAAAGAGGAAAAAGAAGAGATATTTGTGGATCAGCAGTCTATGGGAGAACGTGGTCCTCAGGATTCCCTGGATTCCACACAGAAAGGTCACACCATCCCTCACCATCATCAGGTAGGTGAGACTGAAGCTATGCGATGATATTTTTCTATTTAATCTCTTGCTCCATTTTCCAATCACATGTGAACAAATGCCAGTTATTGGCATTTCCTTTCCTCAGCGCTGTCACTATCTGAGGAAAGGAAAGCTGATAACCGGCTTTCCTTTGACAGGGAACATTTACATTGATCATTAGGACACTGATCAACAATGCCCTGATTATCAGTGCAGCATATACTGACACTATCATGTAGTAGGGAATGTAGAGATGATGTAATTTGTGTCTTTTATATCTGCTTAGAGTTGACTTTAATGGATGTTTTCTATTATTTTGGGGTTTAGGGTGAAGAACGGATTAATATAAAAGTTGAGGTTAAAGAGGAAGAAGTGGAGACGTATGTGGGTGGGGATCAGCCGTCCACGGAGGAGGTTGGGATGGTTATGAAAAGTGAACAGGAAGAAATGTTTTTACTTATCAACACAGGTAAGTACAGGCACTATGGAGGAAACTGGTCACAGTCCTATTTTTTCTGAGTAGAAGGTTTGTAGTGTAAGGAAAACTGCTCCATAATATGTAGATCTTCACATCATCCTGCAGGCAGGTACTGAAAGGTTAACCACTTGCCCGCCACCCTACAGCAGAAATACTGCTACAGGGCATCAGGGCTGTGCAAAATCATGTGTATATATACGTGATTTAGCATCTCCAAATAAGGGGCACGTGTGGGCCCTACCCACGCCACCATTGGTGGTTTCAGCTGTCGATCACTGGATCCCGGCGATCACCGAGTATCATTGACGTGGGAGAAGTCTGTATGTAAATAATATAGATCTCTCCCATGTCAGCTCCTGCAGAGTCATACAAAGCAGTGTGCTTACACAGTAAAACGGCACACAGGTAATCCTTTGATCTCCCCTCACATTAACCCCTTCCTGCCCAGTGCCATTGGTACAGTGTCAGTGGTTTTTATTAGCACCGGGTCACTGTATTGTTGTCACTGGGATTGTCAGTGGCAGTCAGTTCCCCTGCAGTTTCAGAATGCCCGCTGCAATCCCGCTATAAGTCGCTGATATTCGCCATTACTAGTATTAAAAAAAAAAATTCCAGTATCTATACCGCCATTTGTAAATGTTATAACTTTCACACAAACCAATTAATTTACACGTATTGGGATTTTTTTAGCAAAGACATGAAGCGGAATACATTTTGGCCAAAATTTATGACGAAATTTTGATTTTTGGACATGTTTAATAGCAAAAAGTCAAAAATATTGTTTTTTTTCAAAATTGTCAGTCTTTTTTTGTTTATAGTGCAAATTAAAAACAGTGGCGATTGAATACTACCGTAAGAAAGCTCTATTTGTGGGGAAAAAAGGACATAAATTTAATTTGGGTGCAGTGTTGCATGACCGCGCTATTGTCAGTTAAAGTAACGCAGCGCCGTATCGCAAAAAATGTCCTGGTCAGGAAGGGGGAGAATCCTTTGGAGGGCGAGGGGTTAAATGTGTTTGCCTAATAAAGGGTTAATGACTGGTGTTTCAAGGGTTAACACTTGGTGCTTTGATGTGTCTTCCCCTGTCACTTCCTGCTTCTGAAGCGATCTATGCAGGAGGAGACCGGACTATGTGGTCTGTCCGTGTATGGGGGGTGATCAGTGAGGAAACTGCAAAGATGTGAACCAAACTGTATAGTGGAGTTTCTACTTGGCAGGATCTGGGGCGGGTTCTGATGACCGGACTTTTATTGCTCTTTATTGGGACGGAACTAAGTTTTAAAATGTTATGCCAAATCTCATTATTAGTGAGAGTGGAAATGCAGATATGATTATATATATCGCAAAAGTGTACGTCTGTGGAATCTGTACTGAACTATGAATATAACTTTATTCAGTAAAGAATCTATTGGTTAGGAGTAACTGTCTGTGTTACGTTGGAAGAAAAGGTGCTTTACAGTGTAACATCTGACATGGAAATGAAATGTTTCATCTCCATTCTTCAATATAACGTCATGTTCCCCACAAATGAGGAGGAGATACTGGACACCATATGAAAGGTCCATCTCCATTCCTGCGATTTCATCCTGTTTCAATAAAATGATGTGGCAATTTTATTACTCAACGGAGTCATCATTAAATAAACTAAAGAAATGTTATGCAGTGTGTTTTTGGTGTTTATATCCTTTAATGGGTTTTTTTGTCATAATTTGATGTACTTGTAACCAGTTCAATGCCAGAGCTCTGTGAAACTCTTGACTATTAGACTTTTTTTATTGCTGATATTTCTTACAAATTATTCATGTTGGAGACCATAATGTGATCTGCAAACACTTCATAATTTAGAATACAATAGAGTAAAAAAACACAAATGTATTTTATCTAATGAAGACTTAGTTGTAGCCATTTATTGTTCAAGAATCTGCAGATCATATATGGACTCGGTGTGAACACTTTTGATATTTTGGAGGTAGAACAGGAGCCCAGCTCTGAGATCAGCATTTCACCTTAGTCCACTTATGGGGGGGGAGGAGCTAATTTCCAGTTATTTGAGAACTACTGACATTTTTTTTTTTTTTAACTTCTTTCCATCAGATGGATGTTATGCCTGGAATTCCTCGGAGAGACGTCTTCTATTATCTGCTGATTGGAAGTCAGAAGATAATGCCATCACACAGGATTCTCCAGGAGTGAATCCAAATAGACCAAATATCCATCACAGACCTTCCTGTCCGGAGACATCAATGGATCCCTCTGACCAGGGGGAATCTTCTGACCAATCACATACTAGGAGTGCAAATGTCCATTTAGGATCTCACACTGCAGATAGATCAACAGATCCATCTAATCCCAAGGAATCTTCCTCACCCCATGAAGGAATTCACCAAGGTGAGAATCTATTCATATGTTCAGAGTGTGGGAAATCCTTCACTCAGAAAGGAAAACTTATTCAGCACCAGAGAGTTCACACGGGTGAGCGTCCTTATTCATGTTCAGAGTGCGGGAAATCTTTTACTGACAAAGGAGACCTTGTTAAACATCATAGAATTCACACAGGTGAGCGACCTTATTCATGTTCAGAGTGCGGGAAATCTTTCACTGACAAAGGAGACCTTGTTAAACATCATAGAATTCACACGGGTGAACGTCCTTATTCATGTTCAGAGTGTGGGAAATCTTTCACTCATAAAGGAGCCTTTGTTGAACATCAGAGAATTCACACGGGTGAGCGTCCTTACTCATGTTCAGAGTGCGGGAAATCTTTCACTCATAAAGGAGGCTTTGTTGAACATCAGAGAATTCACACAGGCGAGCGTCCTTATTCATGTTCAGAGTGCGGGAAATCTTTCACTCAGAAAGGGAACCTTGCAAAGCACCGAAGAATTCACACAGGCGAGCGTCCTTATTCATGTTCTGAGTGCGGGAAATCTCTCACTCAGAAAGAAGGCCTTGTTAAACACCAGAGAATTCACACGGGTGAGCGTCCTTATTCATGTTCAGAGTGTGGGAAATCTTTCATTCATAAAGGAGCCCTTGTTAAACACGAGAGAATTCATATGAGTGAGCGTCCTTATTCATGTTCTGAGTGCGGGAAATCTTTCACTCATAAAGGACACCTTGTTAAACATCATAGCATTCACACGGGTGAGCGTCCATTTTCATGTTCAGAGTGCGGGAAATCTTTCACTAGGAAAGGAAATCTAGAGCAACACCAGAGAATTCACATAGGCGAACTTCCTTCTATATGTTCAGAGCCTGGGAAATATTCCTATAGGAAAGACCATCTTGACAAATGCCAGGAAATACAGTGTAGTGTGGATGGTGGGAGGAGAGCTGTCAGAGAATGTAGTGTGGATGGTGGAGGAGAGCTGTCAGAGAATGCAGTGTGGATGGTGGAGGAGAGCTGTCAGAGAATGTAGTGTGGATGGTGGAGGAGAGCTGTCAGAGAATGTAGTGTGGATGGTGGAGGAGAGCTGTCAGAGAATGTAGTAGTGTGGATGGTGGAGGAGAGCTGTCAGAGAATTTAGTGTGGATGGTGTAGGAGAGCTGTCAGAGAATGTAGTGTGGGTGGTTGGGGGAGGAGAGCTGTCAGAGAATGTAGTGTGGGTGGTGGGGGAGGAGAGCTGTCAGAGAATGTAGTGTGGATGGTGGGAGGAGGGCTGTCAGAGAATGTAGTGTGGATGGTGGGAGGAGAACTGTAAGAGAATGTAGTGTGGATGGTGGGAGGAGAGCTGTCGAAGAATGTAGTGTGGATGGTGGGGGAGGAGAGCTGTCAGAGAATGTAGTGTGGATGGTGGGGGAGGAGAGCTGTCGGAGAATGTAGTGTGGATGTTGGAGGAGAGCTGTCGGAGAATGTAGTGTGGATGGTGGGGAGGAGAGCTGTCGGAGAATGTAGTGTGGATGGTGGGGGAGGAGAGCTGTCGGAGAATGTAGTGTGAATGAGGGAGGAGAGCTGTCGGAGAATGTAGTGTGGATGGTGGGAGGAGAGCTGTCGAAGAATGTAGTGTGGATGGTGGGGAGGAGAGCTGTCAGAGAATGTAGTGTGGATGGTGGGGGAGGAGAGCTGTCGGAGAATGTAGTGTGGATGGTGGGGGAGGAGAGCTGTCGGAGAATGTAGTGTGGATGGTGGGGGAGGAGAGCTGTCGGAGAATGTAGTGTGGATGGTGGGGGAGGAGAGCTGTCGGAGAATGTAGTGTGGATGGTGGGAGGAGAGCTGTCAGAGAATGTAGTGTGGATGGTGGAGGAGAGCTGTCAGAGAATGTAGTGTGGATGGTGGAGGAGATCTGTCAGAGAATGTAGTGTGGATGGTGGGAGGAGAGCTGTCAGAGAATGTAGTGTTGATGGTGGGGGAGGAGAGCTGCGGGAGATCATAGTATTGATGGTGGGAAGGGTCTGCTGCTGTGGAACACATTTCATGTATGGCGTCACACTCTCCTGTTCATGCTCCAGTTCCCGGTCATTTCCTCTCTGTTCAATCACCTGCTTCCTCCAGCACTGCAGCCTATCACAGAAGGGGCACTATCCTAAAGAGCCAACGTGTGGATTTTCTCTCTTTGAGCAATAAGCCCACACACTAGCAGCGGGGCCCCCTGTGTTCCCCGGTGATTTGTCTAGTGTCTCCCAGTTCCTCCCGGTATTGTCTCAATGATCTCTCGTGTCCCTCCGGTCTGTATCAGCTCCTCTCTGTCTCAGTGGTCCCAGCGGTTCGCAATGTCATCAGTTCCTCCAGCCTTGTGATCCTTGTGTAGTCCATCCTGAGACCCCGAGCCTGCTGCTTTCATTGTGATGTTCCCCAATCTGTATCCCTCTCCAGGGACCCTGTGCTCTCCTTCCAGCTTATATTCTTCCTTCACCACCTCGTCTTCCTCTGCACTTCAGCCAGCTATCTGCTTCACTGCACCTGAGTTCCAGCCAGCCCCTCATTAACAGCACCAATGTATTCCCAGTCTGGGTTTCTCCTCTGCGTGTTCCCAGTCACTCCTAATGTGTTATCTCCTTCCTTGTGTATCCACCAACCCAGTGCTGCAAGAAGCTCGTTTATTTCCTGCATACTTCCCTTTTTGAAAAAAAACCCATCAAGCTCCCAATAAAGAGATGGCATGAAGAATGCATCACATGTCACAGTGGAGTCCTGTGACCCCTTTGTCACAATCTGTGCACACAAGAGGCAGGCACGGCCCTCATTTTGTTAAGAATTCTTCATGTTATCCCCTCATTCCCCCTCCCTCAGGAATGCAATGGGTGTATGTGTGCTGAGGTCAAAAAACCTGAGCTCCCTGCCTTTACACAACCCTCTGCCCAAATAAGGCAATTGGGTTCTGTTGTAAGAAGACACCCTGTTGACATTGGTAGAAAAAAGGCTGTTATGCATGTGTGGGGGAGTGAAGAGAAAAGCCCTGCGTTTTTTTAACATCACTAGCAGAGAAAGAAAGCAGAATCTCCTGCCATGTCCCAACGAAACTAGCAGTAGAGACAAGAAAGCAAATCATCCTGGAGCTCATAAGACTTGAAACTGCTTAACCCAAGGCTGATTGGCAAGTACTTTAACCCTTTAAACTTCTTTCTGTTGTCCTTTTTGCTGTGCTATGGTTCTCTGTATATTTATATATAACTTGGTTACATCTTTTTCTGTAAATATTTTTATTGCACCATTTTGACCTTTTAGTAATAAATCTTTCTGAAAGTGTTGAACTGTTTCTATAGCTCTTTAATGTAACTTACGGAGTCCTGCCTCTAAAAGAGCGCTACTGTGTTTGTTTAACCCTCTGTATAACCGGCCTGTGGTGACAGTGCTATATAGACGATTATCTCAACCATCGTAGTGTTATTGCGGATATTGCCGAGTTTCCTCTTTCTCTGTACAAAAAGGAGGTGGTGGCAGTGTGAAGCGTTAATTGCGTAATTAACCTGATCCATTAACAATCGCTGCCAGGCTGCCGGTACATCGATTGTGGTCCAATTAGCTGGAAAATCGGTGTGCAGGGTGCAGCTGGGCATGGCATTGTTACGCACGTGACATTGCGGTTTTAGATTGGCTAGTCCTTCGGTCACGAGTTTGGTGAGAAGGTCAGGGATCTGATGCCGTGATCGTCACACCCTTTACACAGTAGTATCCTCTGCCCCCCTTCACATCATCCCTCCCACAGTAATGGACTCTGCCCCCCGTAGTAGTGTCCTCTGCCCCCCTTCACATCATCCCCCCACAGTAATGCACTCTGCCCCCCCATAGTAGTGTCCTCTGCCCCCCTTCACATCATCCCCCCCACAGTAATGGACTCTGCCCCCCCCACAGTAGTATCCTCTGCCCCCCTTCACATCATCCCCCCACAGTAATGGACTGTGCCCCCCCCCCACAGTAGTGTCCCCTGCCCCCCTTCACATCATCCCCCCCACAGTAATGGACTCTGCCCCCCCCACAGTAGTGTCCTCTGCCCCCCTTCACATCATCCCCCCACACTAATGGACTCTGCCCCCCCCCCACAGTAGTATCTTCTTCTGCCCCCCTTCACATCATCCCGCCACAGTAATGGACTCCGCCAACCCCCCCCCCCCCCCACAGTAGTGTCCTCTGCCCCCTTCACATCATCCCCCCCACAGTAATGGACTCTTCCCCCCCCCCCCCCCACAGTAGCGTCCTCTGCCCCCCTTCACATCATCCCCCCACAGTAATGGACTCTGCCCCCGCACAGTAGTGTCCTCTGCTCCCCTTTCCATCACCCCCCCCCCACAGTAATGGACTCTGCCCCCCCCCCACAGTATCCTCTGCCCCCCTTCACATCATCCCCCCCACAGTAATGGACTCTGCCCCCCCCCCCACAGTAGTGTCCTCAGCCCCCCTTCACATCATCCCCCCACAGTAATGAACTCTACCCCCCCACAGTAGTATCCTCTGCCCCCCTTCACATCACCCCCCCCCCCCACAGTAATATACTCTGCCCCCCCACAGTAGTGTCCCCTGCCCCCCTTCACATCATCCCCCCCACAGTAATGGACTCTGCCCCCCCCCCTTAGTAGTGTCCTGTGCCTCCCTTCAAAATTATCCCCTTCTTCCACACTGTAGTGTCCCCTGCCCTCCCCTTCCCCCAAAGTAGTGTCGTTTGTCCCCTTCACATCAACCCCCCCCCCCCCCCCCCACACACACACACACACACACACACACACACACACACACACACACACACACACACACACACAAAAACAAACCCACCAATGTTTAGGTAACACTCTCCAACCTTACATAGTTGTACTGCAGAGTGGAGAGTGATAGGGAGCACAGTACTGGATGAAAGGGCGAAGGGGGGGGGGGAGCTGCTGGAATTAATTTTTCATATTAACAAGCTGGTGATTGGTTGTTAGGACCGCCTGGCTTCCTAGCAACCAATCACCAAGCACCCAGCAACTAAAAAATATACCTGAGGCAGCTCCCGCTCCTGCCCTCCATCCAGTACTGTGCTGCCTCCCGCTTGTCACTCTTCAGTTGGGGGGGGAGTCACCACTAAAGTCCTCTTTGTTCACGGTCTACTGGTCACCTGTCTGTGGTCGATAGGTAGATCACGATCAATATCTTGGCAACCCCGTCCTAGAGAATGTAGTACTAACATTGAGAGAAGAGACACAACACCGGGGTGCAGAGAGTGTTTAGTGATATGGACTCTGCTGAGAGAACAATGGGTGGTAGGGATGTAGACACTGATGATCAAGGAATGTCCCAACTACAGAGCAACGCTGAGGACTTTTCTGCATTGTAATGCAAAAATGGAAAAGACTGGATCCGATAAGAGCTGCATCTTCTGGTGATAGATCCTCCAGCACTGTCGGTCGGGCTGATTTCTCAGATCTGGACTTTTCTCTGTACTGAGTACTTTCCGGAAACACAGGGCAGAATTCCAGATGAAAAGAGGAAATTCCAATATCGTTTGATAAAAATGGGAAGATGTATTATCCACGAAATAGAATTGCTATACCTTACAGCTATCTTACTATATACACTCACCGGCCACTTTGATACGTCCACCTGTTCAAGTGCCTGGCAACACAAATTGTTCATCAGCCAATCACAGGGCAGCAACTCGATGCATTTAGAGGTGGTGAAGACGACTTGCTGAAGCTCAAGCTTAGAATCAGAAAAGGCGTTTCTGACATGGTTGTTGGTGCCAGACGGGCTGGTCTGAGTATATCAAAAACTGATCTACTGGGATTTTCCCGCACAACCATCTCTAAGTTTTACAGAGAATGGTTAGAAAAAGGAAAAATATCCAGTGAGCGGCAGTTGTGTGGAGGAAAATGCCTTGTTGATATCAGAGGAGAATGGGCAGACTGGTTGGAGATGATAGAAAGGCAACAGTAACTCCAATAACCGATTGTTACAACCAAGGTATGGAGAATACCATCTCTGAATGCATAATACGTCCAACCTTGA